CTGTTATCTTTTTTTTTTAAAATAATATAAATATATTACAGTGAATTAAATAGTCTAAACCAATATGGGATGAACTGAGAGTAAACCCCTTATTATTCGACATAGAAATATTATTCAGTTTTCTCCTTTCTCAACCGGCAATTTTATGCGTAACAATTTGTACCAGCATTAGAATTCTTTCGGAATGGAAATAATGATTCCGAAACATGAGTATCGATGGTCTTTTGTTTCAATATTAAATATAATCTTGCGCCATCATGAATCTTAGAACAAAAATAATATAGTAATTTGTCGGTTTTGGATTTACGTTGACATTTTCTTACTACCTTAGAATTAGAAAGTATTTGTAGTTGAATGAAACCGTTCGCATCTGGTAAAGAATTTTTTTCTTCGTCATTTATTATTTTTCTATATGAACCACTTCGTAACTCTAAAATTTAGAACTAGTTCTTTCGATTTCTTAATCAACGTTTTGATACAAATAATTTTACCTAATTCATAATTGTCGACTTTTGGCCTTTTAGAATATGGTATACCTTTATAAAATGTATCTAATATTTTTTCTTTCACTTGTGTTATAGTATCACAGCTAAGAACTTTCACAGGTACTGGTTTATCATCGAATTCGGATACAAATATTGTGTAAGAGTTATAGTCAACATGTTGACGAATAAGTTTGTCTTCACTCAGCGAATATCTCGATTCACTTGTCACTACATCAACAGGGCCTTTGTGAATTTGTTGCTTAATAGATTGAAATAAAATGTACAATGGAGTTCCGGCATGATTCTAAAACGATAAAAAATTATCTATTGATAATCGATACTATTTTATTCACTTACACGTATATAATGATATAAAAAGAATGCAAACCAATTTGTTAACATTTTTTCTGCAACCGACTCATTGCTTCTCAATAACATTTTTGAATTATTACGATCTTGTGGCAATTGTTTTTCAATTAGATCGGCTAATAAAATTTTCAATATTCTAGAATAGAACAATATTATAAACGGGTACTAAGTCTTTTGATCAACAAATTTTTCGGCATGTCTTAATTATACACAAGAGGCTGTTCGTAAAACGCTGGGCCAGATCTGACTGTACGGCTTGTCCAGCTAACGGTCTCCTTTTTCGCTCTTTTTCAAAGAACTATGGCAATAAAGTTAGAAAATAATCTAAAATTACAACTAGATAATTGAGTAGATTAAACATTTCTCTATAAAATGAAAAGTGTCTCGGC